CACTCACCTCAGCCTCCCAAAGGCACGGGATTACAGGCTGAGCCACTGAGCCCGGCCGGCTTAACTTTTGATTACAGCCAGTACCACTTTTTATTTTTTAGCCTTCTACTGAAATAAATGCACGTAGAAGAGTATTTATGGTACCTGTACAGCTTGCTGAATTTTTCCAGACAAAACACACCTTTGTAACCTGTACTAAAATCAATAACTAGTTAGCTTGACGTGGTGACATGCACCTGTAGTCCCAGCTACTTGGCTGTAGTCCCAGTACTCTGGAGGCTGAGACGGGAGGCTTGTTTGAGCCCAGGAGTTTGAGGTTACAGTGAGCCATGACTGCGTCACTACACTCCAACCTGGGCAACAGAACCAGACCCTGTCTCTAAAAAATAATAATAATCGGCCAGGTTTGGTGGCTCAGCCTGTAATCCCAGCACTATGGAAGGCCGAGGCAAGTGGATTGCCTGAGCCCTCGGGTCCGAGACCAGCCCAGGCAACTTGGCAATACCACGTCTCTACAACAAATCAAAAATTAGCTGGGTATGGTAGTGCACACCTGTAGTTCTGGCTACTTGGAAGGCTGAGGCAGATGGATCACTGGAGCCTAGCAGGTCGATGCTGGGGTGGCTGTGAGTGTGCCACTGTACTCCTGCCTGGGGGATGGAGTAAGACTCCAACTCAAAAAATAATAACTAGAAGCCCAGAAGTGCCCTGGCAGTGTTGTGTCAGGTCTCTTGCCTACAGCATGAAGTGGCTTTTCTGCCACCTTGACCTGGTACAGCCTTGGTTAGAGGGTACCCAGGAAGCCTAGGATTTGGTGAATAGGTTCCTTTGCACCTCACCCGTGTGTCCTGTGGCTCCCCAGAATTGCCTCTGAGGCCTGGGGCTCTGGTCTATTGAGCCACGTGTTTGAAGGGGTCCAGAGGGAGGCTGTGGGTTTATGTGGCATCTTGCCCTAGAGCCTTGGCCGGCAGAGACTTGGTGGCGGTCCTCCCGCCGAGCAGTGGTTCGTGTGTACATTGCTCAGCCAGGCATGGACCTTTTGGCCTGGGCTCTGGGGAGAGAGGATATGTGTCTGGAAAGCCCAGTGAGGTTCATTCCTCCCCAGGGAGAGGCCCTTAGGGAAGTTCAGGAAGGTACAGCACATGACTCACCCCAGGGGACTGACTGTCACCCACTGTGCACCCTGGCAGGCGGGTCCGACGGTTCCCGGCTCTACGACTGCGTGTGGAGGTACAACTCGAGTGTGAATGAGTGGACGGAGGTGGCGCCCATGCTGAAGGCCCGCGAGTACCACAGCTCCTCTGTGCTGGAAGGACTGCTGTACGTGGTGGCCGCTGACAGCACAGAACGCTACGACCATACTACTGACTCCTGGGAGGCCCTGCAGCCTATGACCTACCCCCTGGACAACTGTTCCACCACCGCCTGCCGCGGCCGGCTCTATGCAATCGGCTCCCTGGCTGGCAAGGAAACCATGGTGATGCAGTGCTATGACCCGGACACCGACCTGTGGTCGCTGGTGGACTGTGGCCAGCTCCCCCCCTGGTCTTTTGCCCCCAAGACTGTGACTCTGAATGGGCTCATGTACTTTGTCAGGTGAGTCCCCAGGTGCCTGGTCCACTGTGTGGGGCATTTCTTACCGGACCCTGTGCCAAGCGCATCACTGGTCTCCCCGTCTCACAGATGAGGAAACTGAGGCCAAGCTGGGATCAGAGGCTGAGTCTTTCTGGCCCCAGAGCCCTCGTTTCATGATGGAGTCGGGTCATCTCAGAGAAGGGGCCTGGCTGCACCTTGGCAGTACAGAGCAGAGATGGCCAGTGGGTCACTGTGCATCTGCTGGTTTTTTTGAGTCAGAATCTCGCTCTGTCACCCAGGCTGAAATGCAGTAGCAGGCTTACAGCCACCTCAGCTTTGACCTACTAGGCTTAGGCGATCCTTCTGCCTCAGCCTTCCAAGTAGCTGGTATTACATGCATGCATCACCGTGCCCAGCTAATTTTTTTACTTACTGTAGAGACGAGGTCTCACCATGTTGCCCAGGCTGGTCTCAAACCCGTGGGCTCAGGCAGTCCTCTTGCCTCCACCTCCCAAAGTGCTGGGGTTACAGGCATGAGCCACCTCACCCAGATTACATCTGCCGGTTTTGGTGACCTGTCAGGTCACAGCTAGATGCTCCCTCCTGACTGGTTAGTGGGCATCCAGGGGATGCCAAGAGCTCCCCGCCTGCTGCACACCGTGTGCATGCCTGCTGTTGCCCCCTCCCCCAGCCTGCCCAAAGCTACAGGACCAGGAGGGGAGGGGAAGAAATGAACGACAGTCCCCGCTGCCCTTCTGGACTGGGTTTGAACATGTGGCCTTGGCAAATGTGTGCCACTGGGCCCCCTGCCTCTGTGCCAGAGCAGCCCTGGCCTTTAGCTGCCTCACCCAGATAGGAGGCTCTTGCCCTGGTTTTGGGACAAGCACCAGAGGGAATGGAGGCGGCGTTGCTGGTCATACAGGTGACCCAGGGGCTGGGCGACACCTTATGTGGGACCCAACAGTCTGCTCAGAGACAGCCCTGAGATCTTGGTGGCCCTGGTCCCATTATGAGATATCACCTGACCCTTCACCTAGGCCCTTCCCCCAAGTTGTGGAGGTGTCTTCAGAGGAGGGATGGAAGTGGCTATAAATACAGCCTGTCAGAGGGCCAGGCCTTTGCTTCAGCCCCTTGACAGCGGTGCCAGGCCAAGTGCCTATGGGAATCCTCCCCTCCCCCATCTGTCCCAGAGCAAGGTGTGAAGAGGTGCCCAAGGACGGTCGCCGCCTGCTTTCCTCTGCCCTGAGCCACTTAGCAGTTGCTAAACTGTCCCATCTGGGGGACAGTATGACCTCCTCTGCGCGTGCGTTTCCTAGGCCATGGGGCGAGGGGGAGGAGGCAGTGCTCTAGAAGGGTTGGCAGTCGTCCTCCCAATATGACCTGTGGGGGAAGAGGGGCCTGGCCTCAGCCTGAAAGTGGAGGCTGTTGGAGCAGGAAAGAAGATGTCCTGGGAGTGGGCTGGGGCCACTGCCTCTGGAGTGTTGGCCCCAATGCTGCCCTGTCCATGTACTTTGACCCCCATAAACCTCTACCTGAACACCGCCTATCTTTGGGTAGCTCATGTCCCAGACATGCTGTCCTCAAGAGGTAGCCAGTGCTGTGTGGAGGCCATAGCCCCAACCATCATCCACATGACCCACGAAGGAGTTGCTGTCCTGAACCTCCTCCTCTGGCAGTGCCCTCATCTTGGTTCTAGATAGCTCCCTGGCTGGAGGTGCAGCAGCTCCTGCAGAGGATGAGCTGGGAAGCTTGGTCCAGCCTGGCCCTCTGGCCATGGCTTGCTAGCCTGCTGGGGAAGGAGAGGCCACCTCAAGGGCTCTGGTATTGCTGGGTGCAGCGGCCCACACCTACAATCCCAGCACTTTGGGAGGCGAAGGCAAGAGGATTGCCTGAGTCCAGGGGTTCGAGACCCGCTTGGGCAACATGGCGAGACCTCGTGTCTACAATAAAAAATTTTTTAAAAACTAGCCAGACGCGGTAGCGCATACCTGTAGTTCCAGCTACTTGGAAGGCTGAGGCAGAAGGATCACCTGAGCCCAGCAGGTTGAGGCTGCAGTGGCTGTGAGCATGCCACTGCTCTCCAGCCTGAGCATAGAGTGAGACAACTACTCGAAAAAAGCGGGGGGGGGGGGCTCCAGTATGTATTTGACCATCGTCATCATCATGTGACTCACAAACTCAAGATGGTTTTTACATCTTGAAATGGTTGGAGGCCAGACACAGTAGCTCACACCTGCAATCCCAGCACTTTGGGAGGCCAAGGTGGGAGGATCACTTGAGCCCAGCCTGAGCAACATAGTGAGACCTCATCTCTAAAAAACTTCTTTAAAATTTATCTGGGCATGGTGGCATGTGCCTGTAATCTCAGCTACTTGGGAGGCTGAGACAGAAGGCTCACTCGAGGTTGAGGCTGCAGTGGTTGAGGCTGCAGTGAGCCAAGACCTTTTCATTGCAGACAGAGTGAGACACTGTCTCAAAAAGGAAACAAAACAAAGAAACAGTTGGGGGCAGAAAGTTCAAGACAAGTAATTTCCGTGCACATAGAAGTATTGGAGCTGCCAGCCCTGCTGACATGCCATCTGTGACTGATTACAGGGCGGCCTTGAGGCCTCGTCCACTGTACAAGCCTAGAATATCCACTGCTGACCCCTGACCTGTGGCCACCCTTGTATCATTACTCCTCTTTTCCTTACAGTATACTTGCTGTTCAAGGATATTGAGCCTCTTACTGTAGAGCTAAGGAGGTTGTCAAACAAACTTGAAGGATCTTGATTCCACAGTGATGGGCACTGCTGCCCTCTTCATTCCTGTAACTATATATCTTGCCAGACACCAAGGACACAGCAGAGCAAGGGTCAGGGGTGGGGGCTCACAGTAACATTGGGGGCAGTGGCAGTGATGGTTAGGGCATGTGAGTGTGCACAGTCAGGTGGGAGGCCAGACCTGGCTTTCCTGAAAAGGTATCTCAGGCCAAAATTGGAGGCGTGACCAGGAGAGCTAGGGTGAGAGGTGGTTGGAAGCCCGAGGAGGGAAGAAACATGGAACCATCAGGATCTGAAGGGAGGCTGGGAGGAGGATCGCTTGAGGCCATTTCAGAGATCCAACCTGGGCAACAGAGAGAGACTGTGTCTCTAAAAAATAAAAAAACCAGGCACAGTGTCCCATGCCTATAATCCCAGCAGTTTGGGAGGCAGAGGTGAGAGGATTGCCTGAGCCCAGAGGTTTGAGACCAGCATGGGCAACATGGCAAGACCTTGTCTCTACAATAAATCAAAAAATTAGCCAGAAAAAATTAAAAAAAAATAATAGGCTGGGCACAGTGGCTCACGCCTATAACCCCAGCACTTTGGGAGGCCAAGGTGAGAGGATTGCCTGAGCCTACAAATTTAAGACCAGCCTGGGCAACTTGACGAGACCTCATCTCTACAATAAATAATTAGCTGAATGTGGCGGCACAAGCCTATATTTTTCAGCTACTTGGAAGGCTGGAGGAAAAAGAATCACCTGAGCCCAGCAGGTCCAGGCTGTGGTAGCTGTGAGTGTGCCACTGCACTCCAGCCTGGGTGACAGAGTGAGCCTCCGACTCAAAAATAATAATAAAAAATAATAATTGCAAAAAAACATAAGTTCTGAAGGCAGCCACTGTAGCCTGGGGTGCTCAGTGTGGGAGACCTTGAGGGGATCTTGGGACCCAAGCATGTGATCTTTGGGTTTGGGGGATAAGGCTGGGTTCTAGTCTTAGACCCATGGCTGGGCGGGCACGGGGCCTGGAATCAGCACCCAAGGGGGAGGGGAGGTATCCACCTGGCACAGGAGCTACCAGATGGTATCAGAAAGACCCGGATCTCTGGAGTAGTCAGTGACACCCAGGAGACAGGCCTTGAGGACTCCTCCAGCCCTTCACACCCAGGCATTTCCTCCTCACCCTGATCAGCTGTCCTCCCTCCCCCGCAGGGATGACTCTGCTGAGGTGGACGTGTACAACCCAATGAAGAACGAATGGGATAAGATCCCGTCTATGAATCAGGTAAATCAGCAGACGGCAGGAGGCACAGGCTACTCCTGTTTTTGTGGCCACAGTGCCATTGTGCTTAGGACCCACAGTCATGATGGGTGGGGCCCGTGTTGAGCCTTTCCCAGGGATTATGCAGCTTAGCGAGTTTCCATTTGACCGGTATTTGTTGAGCCCCTACTGTGAGCCAAAGAGCAGGAGGTGAGAGAGCGGGCTTCAGAGTTACTGGGGGTCTGTTCCCAGAGGACAGCAAGTACAAAGGCGGAGCAGTAGGGATGAGGTCTCTGGGGATCCACCCAGCCTCAGCTGGCTCCTGAGGAACTGACCCTGGGGTGACATCAAGCACCTTCTGTGTGCTCTGGACAGGACACCCAGGGTCCCCCCTTCTCTCTCTGCTTGTTGAGGAGTGCTGAGCTGCAGTGATGGTGGCTTTTGGCCACGTGAGCAGTTCTTCGTCACAGACACACGTCACCCCGCCTACAGCCTTCCTTCCTGTCTTTTAACACCTCCCAACCTCTTGTGCTAGCCCACAATTTACGGCATGGCTTCACAGCCTGAGTTTAGAAAACGCAACTGTATTTTCCCCACAGTAAGCTGCATATACTCATTATAACCAATTTGGGAAAGATGAAATTCTCCAGCCTCATGATTCAGAGCCCCAGCCTTGGGTTGGGTCACAGCTTTGCCACTTTCAGCCATATGAGCCTCAGTTTTCCCATCTGTAGCATGGGCAGAACAGTAGTGCCCAGCCCAGAGGGCCACTGAGAGATCCTGAGAGAACATAAGAAAGTGCTGGTTCTGGGCATGGCCTGCACGTGGGGAGGCCTGGTGCTGCAGCGGACACCCTGATCACCATAGGGAACGGTCACCTGCCGGACCTAGGTATGGTGCTGAGCCCTGGGGAGGTCCCCTGTTCTTCTAGTTGGGGTGTAGGAAAGGCATCGGTCTGTCTGGGCTGCTTCCGAGGGGGCCAAGGCTCTGAGGGCTGACAGGGCATGCCTACTCTCCCATGGCTCCCCCCGGCCACCAACCTTCACTCACCTGTTCTTTTGGCCCACAGGTGCACGTGGGGGGCAGCCTGGCCGTCCTGGGAGGCAAGCTGTACGTCTCTGGGGGGTACGACAATACATTTGAACTCTCGGACGTGGTGGAGGCCTACGACCCAGAGACTCGGGCGTGGAGCGTGGTGGGGCGGCTCCCAGAGCCCACCTTCTGGCACGGCAGTGTCAGCATCTTCCGCCAGTTCATGCCCCAGACCCTCCCAGGCGGGCGTGGCTTTGAGTTGGACAGTGGCAGCAATGACATGGACCCGGGCCGACCCCGGCCGCCGCGGGACCCTGACGAGCTGCACTAGCCCTGGCCTGGCCCAGCACGGGCCTCAGTGCAGGTATCCTGGCACCCCTGAGGGGGCAGTGCCCCTCCTTCATGCATGAGGACAGGCTGGGCTCACCGGGCAGAGCACAGGCTCTCGGGTGGCTGAGCGAATGCAGGAGCCACTGCCTGGAAGGTCCCTGTGCATTTAGAGCCTGAGGTCTCACTGCTGGCGTCAAAGCCAGTTGTGAATGCCCCACCGCCGTGGGTGAGGAAGAACCACTTCCCTGCCAGCACGTCTGGCTCTGGGGGGTCACCCCCTACCTTCGGACCTCCAGCTTACCCGTACAGCGAACACCTCTCCTGCTGCCACCACCTGTACCTACTGGCTCCCACCTTGGGAGAGGAGGGCAACTTGGGGGGCGGATAAGTGAAAGGGGGGATCCTCCCGTGAAGCTCTGAGGAAGGCCTGGGCTTGGAGCATGGGCGCTCAAACTCCCACGTCCAGCGCCAGGTGTCCTGGGAGCCCAGCTGTCCAGGTGGGATAGGGTCTTCCCGCCTAGCTCCTGGCCCCTGCAGGGGGCTCACAGGTGGGCCTCTGAAGACTGAACACAGGGCCGTGGGACTGAGCAGGATTATAAGCCTGGAGGGGTCCAGAGGATGTGGCCTAGAAGATGCTGGGTCTCCCCGGCCACCAGCTGGTATGTCCTCACCTGGCATGGAGACCTCCCCTCTGTTCTGGGCCGATAAAGGAGAGGATGAGAGCCTGCCACGCAAGACTATAACTCCTTTTCGGGAGTTCATCACTGACACCTCGCCATATACAGGCGCCCAAGCTCTCACCCAGCCTGTGTGTGGACAGTCTTGCTGCTCCGAAAGGAAGCTCTGGGCAGTGGCCTTGGTGGTTAGTTGTAGGGTTTGAAATGCTTGCAGCTTGACCCTTAAAAGAAGTGGGGAGAAGAAGTTAGAAATAGGGTCAACTTCGTTTGATTTTCAAGTCTATGCAGTGCCATTGCCAAAGCTTTCTGCAGGAGGTCAGGTCCCTCCCAGGAGAAGTGGTGGGAGGAGCCCTGGGGAGATGTGACAACCTGGGGATCCCAGGCTTGCTTTTGGAAGTTGGAGGTTTCTGCCGATTGGGTGGGTTGGGCCCTCAACATATCCAAAGTAGCCTTTGTTCGAATTTGTCCTTCCTTTCCCTTTGCAGAGGGGATTTAGACAGCATTTCATGAGAGAAAATGAAAGCAAGCGTCTACTTAGAGTCGCCCTTCCTTAGTGTACTGACGTGTAGAGATGTGTTCCCACCAGGAACAGCATAGTTTTAGCACTATTGCCTAACACATTGCACTCAAAACCCTTGTACTGGCCAGTGTGGCTGGTGGCCTTACTTTCTCCCAGGACACTGGACCGAGTGGCGGGTGGGCCCTGCCCTGCCTCCCGTGTGCTCCTGCAGACACCATCACTGTCGGGTGAGAAGATCTTGTCCTGGAACCCCCTGGCTGGTACAGTCACAGCTTGCTTTAGCTCTTCTCCCTTGGGTGTCGCTTGTCAGTCATTACTGGGCACCTGCTGTGCGCCAGGCTGTGGTAGGAAGGCAGGGGAGATGGTGGGACAGCACTGTCCCAGCCTACCTGGGACCAGCTGTGGATTCCTGTGGGTCCCATGGAAACCTGTAGCTGGGCTACTTGGGGCCAGGCATCCCTCTAGGGCTGCTCTTTGCTTTGTCTCAGGCCTTTTCCTCAAGGACTGACTGAGCCCTTGAGTCCTGATGGTGTATCATGCACGGAGCTGGGTGCCAGAGGCATGCACTGTCCAGTCTGTGATGACTACCGTAACAGGGTGTCTTGGGTGCAGGCTGGGAGTTCCCACAAGGAAGAAGGTGGGCCTCACTCCTGTGTAAGAGGACTCCAAGTTCCTGCTTTCTGGCTCCTTTTTTGCTCCTTTGCCATGGCAGGCAGCCACCATACTCCAGGGTTGTGGTATAGGTCAGTACAGTTGGGCTGGGGTTATGGCCCTCCTGTGTCTGCTTTCCGGGCCTTCCCGTGTCTCCACCATCAGGACTCAATCTTTTCTTTCTTTTTTTTTATGAGTTGGAGTCTTCCTCTGTTGCCCAGGCTGAAGTGCAGTGGCATGCTCACGGTCCACCTCAGCCTTCCAAGTAGCTGGAACTACAGGTGTATGCCACCACGCCCGGCTGATTTTTTTGATCTATTGTAGAAACCAGGTCTCGCCAAGATGCCCGGGCTAGTTTCAAACCCCTGGGCTCAGGTAATCCTCTTGCTTCAGCCTCCCAAAATGCTGGGATTATGAGTGTGAGCCACCACACCTGGCAGGACCCCATCTTTAAAAGACCAGGATCTAGAAAGCCAAAAATAGAAGAGCAGGCACCAGTCTCAGCAGCCGTAGGTCCCTCCAGCCTGTGGACACCCCTCCCCGGTTCCCCTTGGCTGTGGGTTCTGGGCTGTCTTGTCCCCACCACTTACAGATGTCTTTACACTGACTTCAGGACAGATGCTGGGCTGCCTAAGGATGGGTCTGTCCCCATGTGTTACCCGTACAGAACTTTGCCTATAAGACAAATTAAGTTATGGAAATACAGTGACTGCTATTTAATGCTGACTTACTATGTTTTCTATATTTAAATTACATCAGAGGCTCGTGTGTGATCATAGACACCCACCCTCCAGTGTCCACATCCGGTCCCACTCCAGGGTGCTGGCAGATTTGCATATTTATTTTTGTCTATTCTGTAGGCTTACATGTCCAGATCCTGCCTAAGGTTTTAGGATGCCTTCAATGCTTTTTGAAATAAAACAATTTCCTACATGTTTGCTGTCATTGCCTTTGTTCCCCTGTTGCCGTCTCCTCCAGGAGTCCTCTGAGCCTCCCGGAGGGAGCCAAAACAGTGGAGGGCCCCTGTGCTAAGGGAAGGGGACCTTGGTGAGCGTGGGGTGCACACAAAGGTCTGAGAGGGGTCAGCCACTTAGAAAACCCAGCACGTTATACCATCTCGGGTCTTTACAAGCTATGAAGCCATGGAAGAGCTAGACCTGGGAAATAAGCACAGAGGTGTGCACCCACCTTCTCCCCAGCTGGCTCCTGCCCTGTTGGTGCTCCGCCCGTGCCCACTCCTATAGCCCTTCCTAAGCATGTAGTGCAGGTGGTGATGAGGCTCCCTTATGCAGGGGGATAACCTTGGACCAGCGGAGGTGGAGCCCATAAAATAATGGAGTATCTCAGGCCATGCTGTGACTCCACACGCCATCAAGCTCCAAGTGTGTCTCATGTCTGCAGAGCTGTCTAGACCTGAGGAAAGGCCAGTGTCTAGGCTGGGAGAAGAGCTGAGTTTGAGACTAGAGTTTGCTTTTTTTTTTTTTTTTTGAGTTGGAGTCTCACTCTGTCACCCAGGCCAGACTGGAGTGCAGTGGCACACTAATGGCCACCTCAGCCTTCCAAGTAGCTGGAACTACAGGCACACTCCACCACACCCGGCTGGGTTTTTTATTTATTGTAGAGATAAGGTCTCACCAAGTTGCCCAGGCTGGTCTCAAACCCCCGGACTCAGGCAAGCCTCTCGCCTCAGCCTCCCAAAGTGCTGGGGTTACAGGCTTGAGTCACTGGGTCCAGCTTTTTTGTTGTTTTTAACACGTCAGGTAATGTGCCAACGTGCCAAAGCTTGAGAGATGCACACCTGTGCACATGAGCGCCCCCCCCATTGCACTATGAACTAACTACAAAGATACCTGAGTTTACCTTTCTAATGCTGTTCCCAAAACAGAACTGAAGTAGCTCATAAGCCATGTAGAAAAATAAGTCCGAAGCTTGGGTGTCAATTCCTGCACCTGAATATGGTCTTTACTACTGAGCTCCCAGTGATCAAGGAATGAGAGGAAAAATGAGTTGGATGAGATCTGGGGTGCAAAATAGGAAACTTTTTCTTGGCCTCTAACTCCAGGGGAATTTAGCAGGGGGTGGCGTCCAGCAGTCCCCCAGGGCCAGGAGCTTACTGGTGGCTGGCATTGAGGTTCGTGGCACATGACCATCATTGCTGCTGATCCAGAACGTACTCTGGTGGAGCAGTTTTCAAATGTATACACAGTTTCTTCGACAGCCCTCCCATCAAGTACTGGTGGGGGCGTCTATGTCCCCTCCCTTTCAATCAGGGGAGTGACTCTGGTGACTGCCTTAACCAACAGGATGTAGCAATGTCCGTGATTTCAGGGCCGGGTCATAAATGACCTTGCAGCTTAGGCCTTTTGGTATGTTTGTTCTTGGAACCCGGTCACCATGCTATGAGAAAGCCCAAGTGGCCATGGAGAGGAACCCAGCCCTCAGGTCCCAGCCCCCTGAGTTCTGGGTGGTTCACTATCCAGCAGCAGATCATAGCACAGTAGGCCTCTCATTTGCTCCTTGGCTTTGAAGTGTGTTCTGTTACTAATTCCATCAAAAGATGAAAGAAGCAGGCTGGGTGCAGTGGCCCAGCCTGTAATCCCAGCACTTTGGGAGCCCAGAGGTCCGAGACCAGCCTGGGCCACTTGGTGAGACCTCGTCTCTACAATAAAATCACAACAGGCTGGGTGGCGTGCATCTGTAGTTCCAGCTACTTGGAAGGCTGAGGCGGAAGGATCACCTGAACCCAGCAGGTCAACACTGCGATGTGGTGGCCATGAGCATGATACTGCACTCCAGCCTGGGCGATGGAGTGAGACTCCAACTCAAAAAAAAAAAAAGCCAGGAAGAAATGTAAACACTGGCAACCTGCTTAGGCCCACATGCAGGAATCCTCCATGGCACACACACACCACAGCTGGACAGCCTGGGACCACCAAGGCCTCGCAGACATGCAGAGCAGGCTAAGGCCTCCCGAGGGACAGGACCCCTCTGTGGGCATACCAGGGCCCGGACCTCCTCAGGCCTCAGGCGTGCTTGGCTATACTAACTGGGCCCGAGTCTTGTCTCTGGCTAGCAAGGCCATCCTCGTGAGTCCTGGTCACTTTGCTTTGACTCCAGAAACTGAGTAATGAATTCTACACCCACTAGCTGGCATCATCTAAATGGGGTCACTCCAAAACGGGACTACTGCTCTATCTGGCCAATGCCTACTGTCCTAAACATCCTGAAAGACCGTGGAACAGCCACACGTGGAGAGCAGCCAGGCCAGCACCATCTCAGCTGAGGTACCCAGCAAGCAGGGAAGCTGCTGGCTGAGCTGAGGCCCACAGAGAACTGGGCAAGGCGCCACGTCATCCTGAGTGGGAAAGCAGCTCTCTTCTCTGGGGCCCGGGTCTCTGCTCCAGGGTACTGGGGAATGGACTGCTGGACAGGCTGGATTGAGTCCAAAGCCTCATGGTTTATTAGGGGCTAGGGCCAAGCAGACTCTGCTGGGCAGAGTGGGCTACGTGTCACAGTCCTCAGGGACAGCAGCCGTGATGACGAGGGCGGGCTCCAGGACGCCGGGGCCAGCGAAGCTCTCCTCTGCACACAATCTCTGGCTGGGAAGCTGGGGGGTCAGGCCGCCCTGGGCCAGGGACTCCACGATGACCTCGGCCGAGCCCACTTCCAGCTCCGCGGGGGGCTGCAGCGCCACCACCACCACCTTCTCGTCCTCGATGACCAAGTTGCGGAGCTTGCGCTGCCGCGGGTTGTAGTTCTCCACACGGTCGTGGATTTCCATGTGCCTCCGCAGGTGGGCCTGGCAGGGAAGGGGCACTTGGATGGGGCTGAGCCTGGCAGGGAGGCGGCGCTCAGATGGGGAGAAGGGGCACAAGGGCAGCCTACCTGCCGGGTAAACTTGTAGCCGCACTCAGTGCACTCAAACTTCCTCACCCCCTTGTGCCTCCTGACGTGCACGCGCAACTGCTCCACAGCTGGAGGAGGGAAGGACAGATGTTGGAAGAGGCGGGAGCCTAGCGGGGGTTGTGCTGAGGAGACCAGCAGCCCCAGGGCCCACGAGGAAGTGCGGCAGGAGGCTGGGGCAGAGCCAGCAAGAGAAGCGGCCAAGCAGATGGCAGAGGGTTTTCTCTGCCGTCCTTGGGCCAGAGACTGGCAACACAGCTCAGGCCCTGCCAGGCTCTCCAGCACCCTGCCCTCCCTCCCCAGGATCCCTCCCATCCACTTCAGTCACAGCAGCTCCTCAGCTCTAAGGCACGGGGATGGGATGGAAAGGGTTCCTGGTGAGAAGTTTCACTGCTGAGAACGAGCATTTCCTCCAGGAGCCCCAGGGCTCATGAGGAAGACCCTCCCACTCGGGTCAGAACGAAGCGGAGACAGCCCAGCCCTCAGCTCCCCTGCTTGCCTGGGTACCTTTGAAGGTCTTGCCACAGATCTGGCAAAAGTGAGGCCGCCCCTCCTGGTGGCGACTGGCCACATGCCTCAGCAGGGGACCCTTCTCTGTGAAGCGCTGCTCACAGAACTCACAGCTGAAGGGTCTCTCTCCCGTGTGGGTGCGGTTATGCTTGTCCAGGCTGGCTGTGGGGACAAGGCAGGGGCTCGTTCGCGGGCCTCGGCCTCGGGCAGGGAGGGGATGGGCGTGCCTCACCTTGGGTGCGGAATGTCTTGCCACAGAGGTGGCACTGGAAGGGCTTCTCGCCCGTGTGCGTGCGCAGGTGCATGTTGAGATTGGCCTTCTGGGTGAAGGCATGGCTGCAAAACTCGCACACGTGCGGCCTCTCGTTCCTGTTTGGGTGGGGACATGGAGCAGAGGCCATCACCCAAGGAAGTGACTCCCTTCACACTGCTGGGAGCATGCCTGGCAGAAGGAGGGCTCAGGCAGTGCCAGAGAAGGGGCATCTCCTCCACTCAGAGTAGAAGGGAGATCTAGGGAGCAGGGAGTCACAGGGAATTAAAGAGCTTGTCCCAAAACGCACGATCTTCTCGAAGCCCGCGAGCCCCCCAGCCTCTCTGCCTGGTGAGCTCTTGCTCATCCCCAGGTCTCCACCCCCGAAAGGCAGCAGACACTAGATTCGGGGAGGGGGGCAGGGCACACGTATCTGTCTAAATGTCAGCAACCTCTGCGTCCCTGGCCCAGTGGCTGGCCTGGACTGGCAACAGGGCTGGGCCTGGGACAGGACGGGCTGACACACACCTGTGCTTGGCCTTGATGTGCATCTGCAGGCCATTCCGGCTTGAGGCCCGATGCCCACATTCCTCACATACAAACAGCTTCTCCCCTCGGTGCTTGAAAGCCTCGTGCAGCTGCAGCTCTGTCCGGGACAGGAAGCACTTGGCGCAGGTGGAGCACTGCAGGGCAGATAGGGTGGGCAGAACTACTGGAACCAGGGTGAGGGCAGGCAGGGCTGCCCGGGAGCTCCACAGGCCCCTTTACCCACGGAATGGAAGAAAGCACATGGCCTGCTGCCCACTCTGAACACAGCTCCAGCTGCCTCACTTGCTCCCGCAGCATCTAAGCATGCCTGGCCAGGCCCTGCCAAGCACTTACTGCGTGGGGCTTGGGGGCTCCATGCAGCTTGATCATGTGGCTCTGCAAGTCTTTCTTCTGCATGAACTGCTGGGAGCAGGAGGAACACTGTAAAACAGACCACAGTCACCTCCAGGGTACCTGCATCCACAGAACCCACAGAACCCAGGGCACCCAGACCATTAGGCAGGAAGACAAAGGCAGGAGCCAGGCCAGACCGGGAGGCTCCCTGATCTAAAGTGAGGGGCGGTGCCAGGGAGGGTCCCTGTGCTTGGGCTGACCAGTGCCACAGAGGGACGCTGAGCCCACCCTTCAAGGAAACAAGCAAGGGCCCCACAAGGAGCCTGGAGGAAAGGCTGCTGCCATGACCCTGCCCACAGACACGGGGCTCTGGACAGGCAGGAAGGCAGCTCCTTGTCAGCTCTCAGGGCATCTGACACCACCCATGAAAAGGGCTCAGCAGGAGGGATCCTGGGGCCACCCACTCCCAGCTCTGGGGACGGCCTGAGCCCGACCTTGTAGGGCATCTCCCCCGTGTGGGACACCATGTGCACCCGCAGCTCCATCCTCCGGCGGAACGTCTCCTGGCACACGGAGCACGTGAAGACCTGGCAGTGTGAGGGGCAAGCAGGGCCGGCATCAGGGGGGGCCTCTGCCTGGGATGGCAGCCTCTGCCCGGGCTTCCACTCGCTGCAAGGAAGAGTCTGCCTGGGGCGGGGGCAGGCTAGGGTGGGAGAGGGCAACACATAACCTGCCTGCCCTGAGCCTCACTGAGTGCTGCAAACCCACTACACACCAGGCCCCGCCCAGGCCCAGACAGGTGGGGCAGGGGCCAAGCGGCCTCACCACAGACCCTGGCCCCAGCTGCCATGGACAGGCCTCTGGGAAGAGAAGGGCAGGGGTTCAGCTGGGCCCCACAGGCTTAGCATGGCCAGCAGCGGGGAGGTGGCGGGAGGCCTTTCCCAGCAGCCAACCTCTGTTGAGGCTCCCCTTCTCCAAAGCTCCAAGGTGGAGGGGGCCAGGGCCGGAAGGCAAACCCAAGATGTCTGCCACAAAGTCCCTCCGGTACTTTTGTCCTTTCCGCCCTCAGGACCTGTGTCCTCACTGGTACCAGGGCGTGGACTTGATGACATCCTAGGACCCTGCAGCTCTCCTGAGTTTTTAGTTCCCCTGAGACAGTTTAGTTTCCTGGGGCTCTTCCTGGATAGCACAAAGACCAAGACCAGTGTGCCCTGCCCACAAGTACCTGGGCCAACTCCCAAGTACCTGTTCCGAGCGGTTCATGCAATTCCGGGCTTCATGCTCCAGGAGGTTCTCCTTCCGAAAGTAGCACTTCCCGCATTTGGGACACTCAAAGGGTTTCTCCCCAGTGTGTTTCCTGCCAGGAGGAAAGTGGGGTGTGGGATGTGGGGACTGACAGGACTGCCCAGCTTGCCCTCACCCAGGGCCCCTCTGGCTCCCTCCACTGGCCAGTGTGTGCTCCACAACAGGGGGAGAGCTGCCCCTAGGCTCATAGCTCACCACCTGGAGCTGTCAGACCCCGCCTGGTGAGCCTGCAGGGACAAGCCCAGAAGCTCCATCCAGTGTGGAGACTAGAAGGGAGAACGCCATGGCCAGAAGCACACACAACGCCGGGCTAGAGGGGACACGCCGGAGCCCCAAGTCAGCATCCTTAAGTGAATTTCACAGAGCTGAGTGGCACAGAGGCCAATAGGGAGGCCCCACTGGCCAGCGCTCTAGCCCACAGTCCCTGGGTCCTGACCACCTGGAGAAACAGCTCACTCTGCCCAGAGCTTCAAATCTGACCATCTCCCCTGGCTCCACTCTTCCCACCTAGTGGACAACTGCACCTCCTGAGCTGCCAGGGAGCCGACCACCAGGCTTCACCTGCCTCCCCCGCACCTGCCTACCCGACAGGTCTAAGTTCAGTAGTCAGAAGGATCCTCTAAATGTAAGTCAGACCTCAGCACCTCTTGGCTTACAACCCTCCAAGGCTTATCAGTTCACAGAAAAAAGGTCCAAGAGGGCCCATCAGGACACAGGAGGCCCTCCCCTTGCTGGTCTCATTCCTGGTGCCTGCCCAGCCACCCTGAGACAGGCACGTGCCTCTCTGCTCTCCGTCAACCTGCCAGGCTCTCCCTACACCAGTGCCCTCACTCTGGCTCTTCTTTTTGCCCAGAGACTCCCCCAGTCATGGGCTCAGTCAACTTCCTCACCTCCTTTGAGGCTGCTCGGCTCTCACCTTCTCAGTAAGTCTTCCAGCCCCTCATTATTTAAATGACAACCTGACCCCATCCTAGCTCCCCATCGGCCCTGTGCTACCTTCCCTCTTCTACAGCCTTTCTCACCTTCTATCACATATGCTTATTTGTTATGTTTGTCTTCTGCATCGCCCTGCAGCACAACGGACCTTTGTTTTGTTCCCCGTTCTGAGTGCCCACAACAGTCTTGTCAGCTACCTGGCAGTTTGTTGAGCAAATGAACTCTGACCTCAGAGCCTATGGGCGGCACTGCGAGAGCTCTTACAACCTGCCGTAGGTCAAGTGCTTCTCTCATTTTCTGCCACTACACCAACTGTCCTCATCCCATCAAAATGACCTCATGAAGCCATCACTCCCTTCCCAGTTCTCAGGGCCAGTCCAGGAACTTGAAGCCCAAGGTAGGAATGGATATGGTGCCTTCCCCCAGAGTCACCCTGGCAGAGGGCCCAAGAAAGTCTAGGCAGAATACAGACTGCCCCAGGGAGTGTCCAAACAGAACACAGGGATTCCCATACAATGAAATTATCCAAAGATTCTACTGGCAGAAGTTGCTCCAAAGCAAAGCGCATAGGTACAGCAAATAGGTTTCATCTCAGCTGCAATTCCAGGCAACCACTAGAGGCTTCCCAGAGTGTCACACTAATAACAGGTGTGTGGCCCAACCTGGCCTGGCATGAATGTGCACCGTGATGGACTAGTGATGTCTTGGTTGGGGAATGGCAGGATCGGAAATCACAACAACTAGCTGCCATTCCCAGAGGCCCTGCAGGGACTCTGGAGCAGCACTGTCCAACAGAAGTCTCCATGGTGATGAAAATGTCCTAATGTCTGCACTGTGTGATTCCATGGTCAGGAGCCACCTGGTATCTGAGCACTTTAGATGTGGCTAACATGTCCAAGGAACTGAATTTTTTATTTTTTTATTTTTTGAGTCAGAGTCTCATTCTGTTGCCCAGGCTGGTCTCGCACCCGTGGGCTCAGGCAATCTTCTCACCTCGGCCTCCCAAAGAGCTAGGACTATAGGCATGAGCCACTGTGCCCGGCCGGAACTGAACTTTTTATTGAATTTTAACTTAAGATACCTCTGGGGTTCCTGATTACCTTATTGGACACTGCAGCTTCAGACAAATAAACATTAATGCCCCAACGACACCCCAGAGCAAAATTTCCCTGAGATTGCAATTAGCACCAACCCTAATGATTGGCATCTTGGCCCCAAGTCCAAATGGCCAGTCTTTAGAAATACCTAAGGTCGGGGGCCTCAGTCCCAGTACAGGGGCCACAGGCTTCTCCCAACCTGTGATGGGAGAAGCCAGCTGGAGGTCAAGGTCCATAGTAAGTGGAACCTGTTGACAAGGTGTCCACAAACCCACTTCCAACCACAGGACTCACAGTGGGAGGGGTAGGAAGAATCTGACCCAAAGCTAGGCTCTCACTCACAGAGGGCCAGAGGTCAACTCCGTTGTGCCAACTCCAGGTTTTATGTGGGTCTGAGATGGAGCCCCCAGCCCCTATAGAGCCCAGAAGCAGGAAGCACAGGACCCCCTCACCCCAACGTGGAAAATGGCAGACAGGAAAAAAAATAGAAAAACAGAATGTTTACCTGTTGTGGACTTTTAGATAATATTTGCTGAGGAACTTTTTATGACATGTGGGACATTCGACTGGTACCGCTGTACCTTTTCTGTTCTCAGCGGGCTCAGCTACCAGGGAGCCTGTGCTCAGGGCTGGGTCGTCAGCACAGGGCTTTCGGATTACGTTTGACTTCCTCCTGGTCAGCACAGCCTCAGACTCAGAAATGTAATCGCCATCCCCGTCGTCCTCCACTTGAACCACCACTTCCCACTAGAGCAGAAGAGGCAGCAGGAGGGGGTGGGGTCCCCATATTAATCAGCAGGGGTTGTGGGACCCCAGCTCCAGTTCCATCCCAAGCCCCAACCCAGACCAGCCCCTTCATCAGGGATGGTTCCCTTCAGGGGCCCAGGGTAGACAGCATCTGCATCTTGGATTTGAAAGAAAGTAGCTCTATGTTTGGGGAACTGGAAGCCTGGATGGAAACACTGCCCCAGGGAAATACCTGTAACCCTGATGCAGCCCACTCTACTCCCAGGAAGCTGGCAACCATGGACTGTTGTGACTCAGAGGTCAGCCTGAGGTCACTAGCTTCCATGTTTGAAGAAAGCCTGTTCCAAACTCACATAAGAGAGATTCTGCTCTGGGGTCCAGATTATCCCAGAAAAGTGTCAGTCTTTTCCCCCTACTCTTGTCTCCTCAGTCCCAGCACCCTGGGCACAGTACCTCATTACTCCCGCCCCGCAGCTGGGCACCTTCAGCCTCAAAGGGCCTTGGGGGCACTTTGCAGTCCTCAGGCTCCTTGTCCTCTGGGGGACAAGGCTTCAGAGCCTGCTTGAGTTTCCCACGGAGGGAAGAGGGGCTCTCACTCTGAGCAGGGAGACGGAGCTGGGACCTCTGGGGGTTGTGACTGCCTCTAGACTCCTGATCCCTGGAGACTAAACCCAGAGTCCTCGAAATTTCCTCTTCCTGCAAGCCTGCCGGCTCCTTGAGGTGGCTATTCGCATCTTGGGAGGCAGGTGTCCCCAGCCCACTCTGGCCACCTGTTGCCTGTCCCGCTGAGGTTTTGGGCTCAAAGCGCTGGCACAGGTCTACAGCCTCGGGTACTCTCAACTCCCTGGCTGCTAGGAGCACCTGATCCCGGTTCCCTGAGGTGAGGGCAAGGTGACCCGTGTAGAAAAAGTCTAGCAAGAGGCTGAAGATTTCAGCGAAGCCAGCAGGAAGGACAACACTGCCCCCTGAGCCATCCCCGTAGAGGCTCTGGAAGAAGTGGCTGCAGCAGGCAAGGACACTCCAGTGCGCCTTGAACACCAGGCCTCCCACATCCAGGGTGGCGTCGCAGTACTGGCCCTTCTCCCGCTGCTTGTTGAGCTCCTGCAGGACCCTCACACTGTGCTGGACGAAGGAGCCATCCATGGTCCAGAGGACAGCAAAGCAGAAGTGACAACCTGGCCAGCCGGAGCGAGGGTATGCAAGAGAAAGCTCCTGGATTTGAGGTGAGAGAAAGGGGAAGTTGGACTTTACTCAAATAGTCACATTTATCAGAAGGAGGGCTTGGGTCAAGGTTCCAGGATGCACGCGGAGGGCTGGAACCGGCTGACGGTCTCCCGGGGGGCGGGGGCCATATTGGATTGGCCAGGGAGGATGGTGCCGGGGGTACAGGTAGGCTAGCTGGGAGGACAGGGAATGGCAGGGGACAGGACAGAGCCGTGAATGGGGGCTGGTGGCAGATCAAAGTTTGGGAAGAGGAAGCCAGGGATAAGCGCCAACTGATCGGCCGGACACGGCGAGAGGATCCTGGCCAGCTGAGCGGAGCCCACGCCGCGCCCACAGGTCCCGAGCGGCCGGGCGGAAAGTGACCGCGGCCACACTCCCGTCAGCGGCCACGGCAGCCCGCTGCCCCTCCCTCTCTAGCCCCGCGCTCTCCTCACCCGGGCCGGTCCTTTCTGCGCCGGCCCCCCAAGACTCAGGATCCGTCGCCGCCACAGCTCGTAAACCAACTGCTCTGGCCGTGCGAGCCCAGCAGACCGTGTGGAGACGCCGCCGTCGCCGCGCCGGACGTGACGTCAGGGCGCGCCGGCCAGGCGGAGCGCCTAGAAGGCGGAAGTCTTCTAGCTCCGCCCCTGGGGGGACGGGACCCCACAGAAAATAGCCAATGAGGTTCGGAAAGGGGCGGGGCCGGGCCCCGTGTGTTTTCGCGCTGGGCCCGCCTCCCGGGGTTACCTAGCAACGGTAAGCTGAGCGCAAAGCCTTTGCTGGACTCTGGGCTCAGACTCGAAGCGGCGACGCCCTTCCCGCTGCCCAGACAGGAAGCGCAGCCGAGCCGCGAGCACGCATTTCACTTCTTTATTGGCAGCCCGGACACGTCCCAGCTCAAGAGGAGCCCAAAGGCCTCCCGGACATCCCAGGCCCCGCGCGTCCGCTCGCCCTTCGACCCTGGTCAGGTGGAGCCCCAGCGCCTCGTGTAGTCCTGGATGGAGGCCTGAAAGTGCTCCGTGCTGTTGAGATCGGGGCGGCAGACGATCACATAGCACTTGGGGAGGAAATAACCGCTGAAGCCGCTGCTCAGGCTGCTCAGCACGGCCAGCACGTTGACCGCGGGCAGGTACTTGCCCTGGTAGACGCTGGCCACGGTGAAGAAGGCGATCCAGGACACGAAATTGAGGAGCAGGCCAAAGGTGACACATTTGGCCTCGTTATAGTTCTCTGGCAGGTCCTTGCCCAGGTAGCTGCATGCAAAGGCGCTGACCGAGAGGAGGCCATTGTAGCCGAAGGCCAGCATGAAGCCCAGGGAGTTAGTCTCTGTGCATTCAAGCACTACCAGCTGAGGGAAGCGCTGGTATTCCCTGGTAGGCAGTGGGGTCCACACTGCAAGCCAAGTCAGACAGATAAGCAGCTGGGCCATTGAGCTGATCATTATAAACAGGGCAGCACCGTGGTTTTGAACCCAGGTGTGGTAGAACGTGGGTACCTTGGTGGAAAACTTGAAGATGATGACCAGTTGGAAGGAGCGAACTGTCAGGCAGGACAGGAAGATGGTGAAACCGAGAGCAAAGATAGCCTGGCGCAGCAAACACGCGGGCAGTGTAGGTTCTCCAAAGAAGCCATAGAGGCTGCAGCTAGCCCCTGCCAGGGAGCCCAGCATGAGGAAGCACAGCCAGCCCCCAGCTGACCTCACCACAGGGGTGTCTTGGTGCCAGGCAAACAGGCCAACAGTGCCAACCACCACCACCAGAAGCAGTGTATTAGCTGCCAACAGCACCCAAGAGATGCACTCGTGCCAAGCCAGAAACACTACGGTACGTGGGAAGCAAGTCTGGCTTCCCTCAGGTGCCCACTCTTCCTTCCCACAAGGCTGGCATCTGTAGAGGTCTGAAAGGGAAGGCAAAGAAGGTTCCTGAGAGCCAGATGAAAAGGATAGGAATGCAGAAGGGAGATGGTGTAGGCCTGCAGGATGCCAGGAGAGCTCTGCTAGGCATGCCAAGACATGGGGAGCCAGGAGGAGGGCCTGAGGCCTAGTGTTTCCTCAAAATGTCTGCGTTAATTACAGACTCTGGACACACAACGGGTAAGCTTTATATGGCTCATGGTCCCAGCAGGGGTTTGCAAACCAAGAGGTCCCTAGGAGAGCCTTGCCCTCATAGCTCTGCTCACACACCAGTGAGGCTCTGATCCAATGGGAGCAGCCAGTCACAAAGGAAGGGCATTTTCATCTCTCCTTCCAGCACTTCCACTAACCAAATCCCCCTTCCTGAGCTGCCACTCTGTGGCTTCTCTGACTCCTGTCTCTCTGAGGACAGAGGAGAAGCATTTGTATCCCCGCAGAAATGGTAAAAAGAGAGAATGTAGCCAGGCTCGGTGGCTCAGCCTGTAATCCCGCACCTTTGGGAGGCTGAGGTGAGTGGATTGCCTGAGCCCGCGGATTCGAGACCCGCCTGGGCAGGTGAGACCTCATCTCTACCATAAATCAAAAGCCGGACTCGGTGGCTCAGCCTGTAATCCCGCACCTTTGGGAGGTTGAGGTGAGTGGATTGCCTGAGCCCGCGGGTTCGAGACCCGCCTGGGCAGCGAGACCTCATCTCTACAATAAATCAAAAATTCATCTGGGCATGGTAGCGTATGCCTGTAATTTCGGCTACTTGGAAGGCTGAGGCGGAAGGATCGCCGGAGCCCAGCAGATCGAGGCTGCGGTGGCCGGGAGCGGCCACTGTACTCCAGCCTGGGTGGTAGAGTGAGACTCTAACTCAAAAAAAAAAAGAAAAAAAGAAAAAAAGGAGAAAATGTGGCCTTTGGAGTCCAGCCCTGGGCTGAGCCTTTAGTTACCTAACTTGCTCTCTGATCTCAACCTTGAATCAATGGATGGGACATGCTGTCTTTTTCTGCTGTAGACATGCTAGTGCCTGCATTCAGGCCAAGTTGTTCCAGGAGCTAGTTGTCTTTGACATGGGCAATAGAAGGGACAGATAGGACAGAAGGTTACCGAGGGAACAATAACTACATTCATTTGAAGAAAGAGGTTGAATCAGGATAAGATTGCATCTGTAGAAATTGTGATGGGAGCTCTTTAGCAGAGGACACCCCTCAGTCTAAGGCGTTCTTTCTTTTTGAGTCATAGTCTACTCTGTCACCCAGGCTGGAGTGCAGTGGCATGCTCATGGCCACTCCAGCGTCAACCTGCTGGGCTCAGGCAATCCTGCCTCAGCCTTTCAAGTAGCCGGAACTACAGGCATACACTGCCATGCCTGGCTAATTTTTTTACATATTGTAGAGACGAGGTCTCACCAAATTGCCTAGGCTGGCAGAGAAAGTCTAAGGCTTTCAATTGTTAGGTTCTTTCTGCTTGATCAGAATTCAGTCTGGTGTCAGGTGTCCTCCAGCCTGTTCCTAATTGGCAGCCCAGTGACTAGGACGCTGGTTCAGGGGCCAGGTGTGTGCACATGGGGTCTAAGGGAGATCTTTCCATCTACTGGGCAGACCCTGGGAGTCTTACATAGCTCACCACTTGCCTGGCCACTCACCACTCTTGTTGAGGAAGGTCCCGGACTCACAGGGCACACACTCGAAGCAACAGTGATGGGAACCCACCACCACTCGCTGGTGTCCTTCAAGACAGTCGCTGGAGCACACAGACTGGGGCACCTGTAAGAGGCCACAGGTGTTCTGCAACCACACGGAGGGGCCCAAGTCAAAGGACAGATCACATGTGGAACAGAAAACAGGATCTCTGTGCATCTGCTCTGAAGGCACAACAAGAATGAGTAAACAACACCCAGCTGGGTATGTGTGTGCCAGCCCTCAGAGCACCCTTCCTGCTTCCCTGGCAGGGCTGGGTAGAGTGATGGCTGCCTGACACCTGGGTCCCCATCCTGCTCTGTGTGGACCGTGTCAGCGTCACCCCCAGGCTCCAGGCTGCCCATAAGGATGGCACCTGATAAGTGACCACATCCCCAGTACCTGGTTGTCCTTTCTGTGCCACTGGATTTTGGTCTCATTTATGTCCAGCCGAACTGGAGATGCTGTGGAGGAGCCAATGACCGTAAAGGTCCACTTGAACCCAATCCAGTCCCAGGCAATTATGTTATAGCCACTGAGGGGGTCCCCGTTGTCATTAAATGTCACGGTGTCCTCGTGCAGAAGGAAATTGGCCTTGTGGATCTGCTCCAGAAGCTGAAACAAACATTGTGACTCCACCAAGACAGCAGAGACCCAGATGGTCCAGGAAACAGTGTCAGGGGCCTTCCTGGGCTTCCATCCTGGTGATTTCAACCCACCCCGAAGGTCTGAGGGCCACCTGGTCCCTCCCTCAGAGCCCCCTCTCTTCCTAGGAAGCCCCAGGCCCTCTCAACCAGTCTCCTGAGGGGAGACCTCCAATGAGGGACTCCTTTACAGACATGCTTAGCCCTGGTTCTTGTCCCTTGACGCTTCCCAGGCCTGGTGGGTAGGAGAAGACAAGGTTCAGAGAAGAGAAGGATTTGTCTAAGAGAGGACAGCAGCCCTCGAGTCAGTGGCTTTTGCCCCCGCGCACTTAGGGGATCTGAGAGTGCCCCCTGCCTCTCAGGACTGTTCTCCCTGGCACAGGGCGCCTGGAGCCTCTCTTAGCTGAGACACAGGGTGCCTGGGGGCCTCTCTTACCTGCCAGGGGTAGACTTGGCTCCTGGAACAGGCCCCGGAGGCACAGCCCAGGAGCTGGTGGAGGCCATGGGCCACAGTGTACACAGCCTGGTACACGTTGTAGGCAGAACTCATGGAGAAGGGCCCGAGTGTGGGCGTTGTGTGTGCTGTGAAGGCGCAGCACTCCCTACAGAGCTGATTGCTGCTGCACCAGGCGCCTGTGGGACAAGGCAGGGGGGCGCCCTTGTCTGCCTGGGCATAGGCCTCTTCGAACTCCTTCAGGCCGGGGACAAGCCTCAGCTGGATGGCCACACCCAGCACTGTCCCGATGCCCTGGATCCCGGGCACCCCGGTGATGTGTCTGGAGATGGCCCAGTCTTCCGAGGCAATCCACACCTTGCCAGTCAGGTTGGCCAGCACCACGGACTCAAAGAACACCCTGGCCAACCGCCGACTGGAGAAAACGACCACGACGGTGGTCCCAGCTCGGGCCAGGCGGTTCATCATGCCCTGCATCCTCTCATCGCCCACGCGGGCAGAAAGGGGCACAATGTCCTTGAAAGCAATGCAGATGCCCTGGTCGGTGGCCTGGTTCTCCAGCGCCTGCACCCCCTGCTGCCCGTAGTCGCCATAGCTGCCGACCAGTGAGATCCATACCCACCTGAACCTCTGCAGCAGCAGCACCATGACCTCCACCTGGTGCCTGTCGCTGGGGATGGTGCGCAGGAAGGAGGGGTACTGCCGCTTCACGCTGAGCGTTGTGCTGCTGGCCTCGTAGCTGATCTGTGGGGGGCCCCATGCAGCATGTTCAGTGGCCTCAACCTCGACTGACGGCCCCCCAGTGCCTGGCCCTGTGCTGGGTATGGGGACACAGCAGGGACAGAGACCAGGGGAGCAGTACTCGCCATGTGAGATGGACAGTACAGACCAAGAACCACACAGGCGCCATGGGGGTAGGATTCTGGGGAATGCACCTGGTGAACAGGGTGGAGGGACGTGCATTCTCAGCTAAGGGAACAGAACCTGCGTACTTACACTGGCACAGTGTTGTGTGTTTGGGGACCTTCAGGGGCTTCTGCTTGGCTGGAGCCCTTTGCAAGAAAGAAGGGGAGCACGAGACAGGGCAGGAGGTGTTAACTCTTGGGCTAAGGGCTTGGTCTTTGTCCTGCAGGCCATGGGGAGCCCCCCACGGGTGTCCGTAGAGAAGGAATATGTTCAGCTTGCATTTCAGGAGTGTGTCTTTGATTTCAGTGAGGAACGTGTTGGAAAGGTTCAAGACTAGAGTCCAAGACAAGTGCAGTGGCTCACGCCACTTTGGAAGGTGGAGGCGAGAGGATTGGTTGAGCCCACTGGTTTGAGACCAACCTGGGCAACACGGTGAGACTTCATCCTTATAGTAAATCAAGAAATTAGCTGGGTGTGGTGATGCACACCTATAGTTCCAGCTACTTGGAAGGCTGAGAAGGAAGAATCGCCAGAGCCTAGCAGGTTGAGGCTATGTGGCTGTGAGCCACTGCCCTCCAGCCTGGGCGATAGAGTGAGACTCTGATGCAAAAAAAAAAAAAAGACTAGCATACAGGAGAACCCTTAAAAGGTAACGGAATGATCTAGCTGAGAGGGGATGCTGGTCTGAATCCAGTCCTATAGAGGGGATGTGGAGAAGAGGGGACAGACTTGGGGCACTGAAAACAAAGGAGAGGCTGTGGTAAGGGACCAAAGATGGCAATCTAAGCGAGGAGGAATGTAGCCAGGAGGGGCGAGGCCTGAAGGACAGGACTGGTCTCAAGAGGCGAGGGCGTCTCCACCTCTGAGTTGAGAGGGAAGAAAGAAAGGAATTCAGGTGAGGCAGGGGCAGCATGGAAAGGTCTCCAGGGCGGGAAGTCAAGGGCATCCCTTCTTTCTTTTTTTTTTTTTTTTTTTGAGTTGGAGTCTCACTTCTTCGCCCAACATCGACCTGCTGGGCTCAGGCAATCCTTCTGCCTCAGTCTTCCAAGTAGCCAGAACCACAGGCATGCGCTACCACGTCTGGCTAGTTTTTTGATTTATTGTAGAGATGAGGTCTTGCCAAGTTGCCCAGGCTGTTCTCGAACCTGTGGGCTCAGGTAATCCCCTCTCCTCAGCCTCCCAGAGTACTGGGATACGGGCTTGAGCCACCACACCTGGCTAGCATCCCTTTTTTTTTTTTTTTTTTTTTTTTTTT